GGTGCTGTGGTAGCTGTGGGTGCTGTGGGTGCTGCGGGAGCTGCGGGAGCTGTGGGTGCTGTGGTAGCTGTGGGAGCTGTGGGTGCTGTGGGAGATGTGCAGTGTGCATCCCGAGCCGGGAGACGGGAATCTCGAGCAGGCGGAGGCAGCAGCGCTCGGTGCAGCAGCGGGTGCCAAGGCAGGTGCGATGTGCCAAGGCAAACAGGATCCTGGGGATGGGCTCCTGAGCAGGGAAGGGCGTCCTGCAGCAGCCAGCAGCCGGTGCCGGGCTGGGTGCTGCTGGCTGGAACTGGACAGGCTCTGGGGAAGAGGCTTCGCGGGCAATTGCAGGAATTGGCTCCCCAGCACTCTCTCACTCACGAAGCTGAGAAGTGCTGGCACCGGCTGGGAGAGCAGCCAGGGCTGTGTGAACAGACACAGGAGCTGGAGAGAAGATTTTTAGTGGCAACGGTTGATGTGTGGGAGAAGAAAATGTGTGTGTGCTTAATAAATATTGGCACTCGGCAAGAGTTTATCAGCTAACACAGTGCTTCAGCTTCTGGAGAGCTGAGCTGGCTCTGCCACACTGAGAAGAATCCCTTCAGATCTGCAGATAAATATGAAATTAATATGAAAAGTGGGGTTTTTGAATGGTGCTGATTTACTGCTGTGGGATGGCTCCTGCTGCTTTCCCAAGCACACACAAGAGGCAGCACAGCAGCAGTTCCTGCCTGTCCCCACAACCCAGGCCCCATGGATTGTGTGTGCAGATGTTGTCACACGTGGAAAAGGGCTGACAATAGAGCAAACCCTGCAGATTTGGTCTCTGTGATTTGCCACTTTGTGTTGTATGAACTATCTTTTAGGAAGGAGGTGCACTTTCCCAAGCTGAGTTTCAGGAATTTTGGGGTTGTACCAGTAGGCTAGATGACCTTTAGAGGTTCAGTCCACCATGTGGTCCCCACTGGGTCTGACTGGGTCTTTATTTCTGCAGCCTTTGAAACCCCAGTGTTGTAAATGGCCCCTTGGGGTTCCCTGTTCTTGTGCACCATTGTCCCAGCTACTGGAATGACAAAATTCCTTGCCACAGTTCAACTGCCTTACAGCTTCTCCTGTCCTTCATTGACAGCTCTTCCTTTCTTTGGCACTGACAGTTCCCATGTGTGAAGACTTTTAATACATTTCCCTCGCTTTTATCTTCCCTTGGCAATCTTTCCCTGGCCCAGATAACTCTTGTCACTCTCCCTGAAACTGTCCTGTGACTTGCATCTGTTTTTCATTAATCCCGCAAGCAAAGCTACAAAGAATTCCCTGGCCTGTGAGAACAGTGAAAGGATTGAGTTTCCTGGTGATATTTATATATCCCAGTGTGTCTGGCTACTGTCTGCAGCACTGCAGTGGTCTCTGATTTCTGATGTGCAGCTTTTCTGCAAGACAAGTCCAACAGACTGAATTTCTGAGCTGGCAGGACCCCGTATTCCAAACCTTTTGTCTTTTTTTTGGTTTCCTCTTCCCAACCCTGTGTGTACCTGCAGCACCATCCAGCTGCACATGCAGGCAGTGCTGAACAACAGGTGTTCTGCAGGATCAAAGCAAGACTTCCCTTTCAATTCCTCTGGCTTTCCAGGGAGCAGCTTTTGATCTTTACCTGTTGCTTTGTTCTTTCTGTGCCTGGTGAAAGCTCATTAAGTGGTGCCTCTGTTGGCAGAGACGTCCTGACCCTCCCCTGCCTTCCTGGGAGCACCCAGAGAGCTGCAGCAGGACATCACAAGCCCTCTTGTTTCTCATGTGCCTCTCCAGCTCCAGCCCCTGTGTTTCATGAGGAAGCACTCCCTGGCCAGCCAGCAGCAGCCAGCTGGTGCCTCCTTCCTCCTGTGCATCCGCTGATTTTTGGGGTTCTGAGGAAGCTGCTGGCAGGGATGAAGGTCTCTGCTGCTGTAGCCAGTGTTGTGCTGACAGGTGACCCTGCCCAGGTGTGCTGCAGGCTCAGGTCTCCGGCCAGGTTGCTCCACATCACTGCCTCTGACTCCCCTGGCCCTGTTTGGAAACAGCATGTTGTAACTCAGTGTGGGGAAGGAGAAGTTGCACCAGAATTTACTGTCTGTTCTTGCAGGGTGCAATGAGGGGAAAGGTGTTTCACTCCTTAAATGTGGTTGAGGCAAATTACTTTCTGCCAGGTGCAACCCAGAGCCTGAAACTGTGGATTTTGGCAATGTGGACAAGAATGAGCTTGGGGCTCGGTTGGTGTTTGGTTTTTGGGGCTGAGACATGAGGACACGTGTCTGGTGCTAGGAGACAGGAGTGTGCAGGACTTGCAAAGTGATTCTCTTATCCTGAACACTTGCTGGTACAGAGCAGGGTTGAGGCTCATCCATGAAGTCCCAGCAAAGGCTGAAACACAGGAACTGCCTCTGCTGTGATTCGAACTGACAACTGTGCCCATTGCCAGTTAAACCAATAGTTTGTCCTTTAATGAAGGCTCTGTCAACAGCTTGGCAGTCTCATTTGCAGTCTTCTGCATGTACCAATCTGTCAGAGGCAGGACAGCTAATTTCCTTCCCTGCAGCCCTCACTCTGCCCTTTGGGAAATGCCCCTTTGCTATTTCTGCCTTCTGCCCTCCTGGGCTGGCTGGATTTGCATCAAAACCAGATTAAGGAAATCAGAGCATCAGACAGTGCTTGCTTATGCCCTTAAGTATTTCCTCAGAAGATGCCCCACGCCAGGGCCTGTCTGCTTTATTTTCCTCTCTGGCTCTCGTGGCCGTGCCCTGCAGCCCAGCGTGGCACTGGGCCCCAGGAACACCCCGGGCTGAGCTCCCCTGGGCCTGGGAGTGTGGCTGTGTCTGGGCTGTGCTGGGTCACACTGGCCTCTTCACAGCAAGCTGAGCCATGGTAACATAAATGAACAAAAGTGGGAGTTCCCTCTTCTCCTGTGGTTTTGGCAGAACAGAAACTGCCGTGGTTCTGGTGCTTCCCAGCTGGGCATGGCTGCAGAGAGCCTGCTCTGCACTGGGGTTGCTTTGTGTGAGACCTTCCTGCTCTTCCAACACCTTCTGGTCCATCTGCTGAATGCTTTATAGCTTGGGTGACCCCTCTGGTTCCACTGCAGAGCTCCTCATCATCAGCCCCAGCAAGAAGCACATCTCCTTTGGGCCCAGAGCTTATTTGGGGGTGAGCTGGGGATTGTGCTCCACAGTTCTGCAAAACTCTGGACAGGTGAAATGTTTGCCTTGAGTTGGTGCTCTGTGTCCAGCTCTGCCCTCCCTGGTGAACACAGGGCTCAAAAGAACCCAAACCAAACCCAAAAACAACCTCACAGAAAAAAATTCCAACCCCATGAACCTCAAACACACAGAAATGGCAAGCAGGAGATGAGGTGGGTTTGATTGATGTTGTTTTTGGAGATGCTGTGGCTGAAGCAGCAGCCCCACGTTCAGTGCTGTGCTCTCAGCCATTTCTGTGCTGAAGGAACCTCTGGGATCAGCTCTGGCTCTGTGACATCCCCGGGTCAGTGACACACTGGGCAAGTCCATGTGCTGGGCTGTTCCCTCAGTGGGGATTTCAGTGACCAGCATTGCTGTTCTGCCTCCTCCCACAGTAACTGTTAGCATGGCATTTTGCTGCCTTCATGTTTCTTCATTGCAGAGAAAAATGTCCTGGGATTCTGTGTTTGAGCACCTTTGAAGCATGAAAGTGATGTTACAGATCTACAGCATTAGTGGGCTCTTGCTTGAGGTGTGGATTGATGGGAGACTTGTCCTCAGACCGTGGGTGGCACGTGCTGAGCTGTCTTTATTTTGGTTCTCACACTATTTTTTCCTCCTTCTTGGCAGATCTTCTGAATTTGGCTCCTGACTAGAGCTGACAGATGATGGAAACATTTCCCTGGCGATGTCTCTGGGGCGACTCCTCCGTCGAGCCTCTTCGAAAGCGTCCGACCTCCTGACCCTGACTGCCGGCGGCGGCGGCTCCTCCTCCGTGCTCGATGGGGAGATCATCTACTCCAAGAACAATGTCTGTGTCCACCCCCCTGAGCTGCTGCAGGGCATCGGGGAGCACCATCCAGGTGATGGGGTGTTGCAGACCTGCTCATCCTCTCTTTTTCTCTCTCCTGGGTGTTGCTTTGATCAAGTTCTACACCGTGGGCTCTAAGAAATGAAGAGGTGCCAGTGGTGGGCAGGGCAAGGCAGTTTTGTGGAAAGTTCAGGAAACCCATCCACAAGCTGATCCATCAGCTCTTCTTTTAGTAGGAAGATTAGTGCTATTGCTCCTTTCTCTTCTGGTCCAGCATGGATTTTCTGGTTGAGTAAGTCCTTTTGTGCAGTCAGAAGTTGTCATGTGAGGACAGTAACTTCTGTTGCTCATTCATGTCCCTGAATTGTTCAGGAAATCCAAGTATCCTCTTAGAGCTGTCATTGCTGGAGTGGCCTCGGCAACCACTGGTAAAGGAAAAATCCAAAAAGCCTGATTGTGGCTGCATGCACTGGAGTAAATGAGGATAAATCCTGCTCTGTCCTTTTATTTTCATCTGTTCCTGTGCTCTTTCATGTTCTCATCAAAGACCTGTGGCTCTTGGCTTAGCTTCACAAAATGCATTATTCTCTGAACACTGACCCTTGCTTTCCTTTTGGTGTGGGTGTCTTCTTTTTCCATTGGCTTCCCATAAATACTGTAGCCTTTTAGCTACACTAAGGTAAATATTCGTGAGAAATCAATGTTCAGCTGGCACTTGAAATTGTTTAACTAAGAAACAGTAGAACTTTTTCATGTGGGAACATATTTTATAATTTACTCCTGATTAGTAAATCTGTCCAGGAAATCCAAGTATTTGCATGTCATTTCTGTGTTCAGTTAGGCCAGAGGGAATTCAGACTATTCAAAAGCTACATGCAGACTTGCAGTTATTTGCAAATACTGAATAATGCTGAGCACTCCACAATTCCTCCGACAGAATTCTGTCCTGGTAACTTAAAGGGTTTGTTTTGTCCATGTATAGTGGTAGTGAAGCAGCAGGAATCACAGAATGGTTTGGGTTTGGGGGAACCTTAAAGATCATCTCCTGACAAGGTAGAGGATCCTAAAGATGTTCCCTGCCATGGGCAGGAGCACCTTTCACCAAACCAGGTTGCTCAGAGCCCCACCCAGCTTGGCCTTGAACATTTCCAGGGAGGGAGAGATGGGGAAAGGGAAATTTCAGGATAACGCAGCTTCCTTAGAACGACTCCGTGTGACACCTGGTGCTCCTTTGCTCTCTCTCAGGCTATCTGTGCTTGTACATGGAGAAGGACGAGCTGCTGGGAACCACGCTGATCCTGGCCTGGGTGCCCAACTCCCGCATCCAGCGGCAGGATGAGGAAGCCCTGCGCTACGTCACCCCCGAGAGCTCGCCCGTGCGCAAAGCGCCCCGAAAGCGCGGCCACCACACCCAGGCCCTCGGTGTCGGCCGGCCCCTGTCCCCCCCGGAGCAGAGAGGGCCGCTGGGCCTCAGGGGGGACGAGACCCTCTCGGTGTCCCAGCTCGTGAGGGACGGGGGCCCCTCCTCGGAAGGGGAGAAGCTGTCGCAGAGCGGCGCCCGCCGGTCCCCGCAGCCGCCCCGCAGCGACTCGGGGACCCTGTCCACGGTCAGCTCCCAGGAGGAGCACAACAGGTCGGAGGGCACGGAGGAGGGCCTGGACTGCAGGGAGGACGAGGGCTCCTTGGAGCTGTCTGCTGACGATGTGAGCAGGGACAGCACTTTGGACTCTGATTCTGATGCCTTCTCTTCCCCCTTCTGCCTCTCTCCCATCAGTGAAGCCCTGGGGAAAAGCAGCAGCTCCGTGTTCATGGACAGTGAAAGCAGGTGAGTGCATCCTTTCTCTGGTTTCTGGGTGCTGAACTTGGAGATGCTGAAGGAAGTTGAGAAACTTCACAGTGGCGTTAAGCTCAATGCCCTGTCTTGCTTCAGACTTCTACAGCGTTTACAGGAAAGCGTTCTGCTTCTGCTTAGTGAACCCTGGCCCCAAACATCCAGGGCTGTGTATGTCCTTTCAGGTGAACAGTCTTGAGCCCTGGAAGCAGCATTGCTAAATTAAACAGGTCCTTTGTTGGCCTAATTGGCTCTGCTGAGGATCTGAGCTTGTTGCTTCTCGTGCAGAACCACATCAAAGGGCCCTGCTGACTTCCTGAGCCGTGGGCACCCCTCCAGGCCCTGTGTTGACATGAAACCTGCGTGCGGGAGCTTGTTTTGTTGTTTAGAACAGGGTCCTACTTCAGGCAGATAAATATCAATTCTTGCGTGTCTAACTGGGGTATTTCAGTCTGTGCTTCCCAGTGTCAGCTGCAGTAAACTCCACAGAGGGAAAGAGGGCAGCTTGGCAAGGGAATAACGAGCAGGAGGGCACCTGTACAACTCCCTGTTCCCATATCCAGTGGTTCTGACTTTCTGGGCCCTGCTCTGTTGGTGTATTCCTCGTTTCCATCTCGGCGAGGATGAATGTGCTGTATTCCTGAAGAACCATGGGGCTGATTTTTAGGCTACAACTCAACTTTGAAACTGCACCCAACATGAGGAGAAATGTGTTCTCCTTTGTGCATGGCAGCAATGCACAGACTGCACTGACAATTGAAGAGATTTTGCCTCTATTTTGTGGGCTAATCTCAAGCCCAGAGAATGCCAGTAAGAACAAGGTTTGTGAGGAAGTATTCTAATGGATTCAATTCTCTCTGGATATTTTAAAACCCTTCGTGAGGCTATGTCAGACTTTGTATCAGCCTTGCATTAGGCATCTGCCCAGGGTTTGCTGGGCTTGAGCTCTGCAGCACCTGTGCAGTGGGGTGCGTGGTGACTGTCCCATCCCATCCTGTCCCATCCCAGCCCACCCAGCCCATCCCTGTATAAAAGTCCAGCCTTTGCCAGATCAGTGGGTGAGAGAAATGCCAGTGACCACGAGGGCAATGTGCATAGCCTGGCATCTTCTGTCCTCATAGAGAGATTGTGGAGCTCAGGGCTCAAGAATGTGTTATCACCCCACTGTAGTGGTGGGAAGTGGGAAGAGCAAGGGACACGCTTGGAATAGCATCCTGGCTGCTGAAAAGCAGGAGGCTGAGCTCAGCCTGGGGAAACCCCAGCCCTGGCGTGGGCCACAGCCCATGTGCTGTCCCAGGAATGCTGTGGGCTTGGATTGCTCCCACAAGGAGCTGGTGCAGGAGGGTCCCAGGCAGCGTCCAGTGAGTCAGGAGTGTTGTGGTTTAACTGTGCTGCAACACTTATGCTCTGAGCTGCAAATAGTGTCAGGAAAGGAAGGAAATATGGTTTATTGCATCTTCTCTGCCTTGTCTGTGAATTCCTGCGGCATTTCCCTGCCCTCTGCCGGCTTTTCCTCACTGCTGCTGGAGCCCAGACAGCTCCAGCCAGGCAGAGCTGGCTCTGCACACACAGCTCAGGGGCCTGCTTGGTTCTGCTTTTTTCCTTCTTTTTTAACTCCTGTGGTGCTAGTCTGAAGTGTCACACAGTGCGTGTGACACTCATAATTGGCAGCAGATTAATAAAACAGAGCTTTTGTTGTTTGGGACTTTTGACTGGAAAGGATTTTGTTCAGTGTGTGCGTTTTTCGTGCCAATTTGTTCTTCCCCATTGAGCCACCTTCCATGGAATCTGCAGGATCTTACAAGCTGTTGAGTGGGAGATTTTGCATAGAATCCTGGTCAAAAAGCATCTCATATTTCCTGCTTTCATCTCAGCATTCTGGGGGACAGGAGATGCTGTTTCAGAAGTCACTACAAACATGGGAACAGCTTCCTTGTTTCTTAAGGGTTTGTTTTGGTTTGGTTTTTTCTGCTGGCTGCTTCCCCTCTGAGCCAGAATTGGAGTGGGAACAAAGTTTGTGCTGCTGGCAGATTGTTTGAGCTCTCTTCCCTCCCCACCTCCCAGTCACCACCTCCTCTCTGCCAGGAGGAACGACTGTTTCTGGTTGTTTCCCTCTGCACTGGGGAGTTGCTGCACAGACAGCTCTGCTCTTCCTGTGGTTGTTGGAGAAGCTGAAGATATGTTGCATTTCAGTCCAGCCAGCTTCCTGTGTGATCAGATATCCTCAAAAATGGAGAAACGGGTCACGGTGGAAGAATTGGGATGTACAGGTACATTTGGATCAGATGAGATCAGGGGCTCGGCAAGCTGTTTGACAGAATTTGTGTGTGACCAGGGGTCACGAGTCCTATCTGCCTCTTGGAGTTCCCCTGAGGAGGTGGCCTGGGCACGAGGGAGCCACAAACACTGCAGTGTGTGCGGGATGAGGACAGCGAGGAGCGAGGGAGGTGGGCTGGGGAGCCCTGGAGTTGCACAATGAGTAAGTCAGTTGCAAGTCACCAACTCGTCTGGTAGAACATAAGGAAATAAAAATGTATCCATTGTTGTTTTGTTTTTTTTTTTTCCCTCTTTGCTTCTTAGTTTGACAGGATGCCAGGGGTCCCACGCAGCGCTTGATGCATCCTCCTCCCATTTACACAATTCCTTGGGCTGGGAGCAATGGGAGTGTCCCAGCACCAGCATTAACACTCCTGCTTCTCTCTTTAGACCAGCCTGGCACACTGCTGCAGGGTGAGCTCATCCTCCAAGGAAAGGTGCCCTTTCTCTCCTGGGGTTTGTGTTCTTCTTAACTTTGGGGACCCCTTAGTGCTTCCAGCATGTGGTTCCTACGGGAGGCAGCTGGTGTTGGGAATGCCTGCACTGATGGCAGCTTTTTCAGGGTCTGTATTTCTGTGAAAAAGGAGGGATTCTGGAAATAAAATCATTCCATTCTGTCCCTTCCCTCCCCTGTCCCCGTTGTTTGTTGGCTGTCAGGAAACGTTTACCTTGTGGCCTGAAGGACACGAGTTCAGGGCAGCTGCTCTCTGTGCCCAGCTCTGGCTTGCTGCTGTCTTGGAAAATTCCTCTGCTTTCATTTTCCCCAGCAGTAAATTGAAACAAAAAGGGTTTTGTTACATCCAGACAACCAAACAACATCTGACACTTCTGTAATGTCCATCCTTTGATGCTGCTGGAGTTATTGAACTGACTATGACATCAGATCTATACAGTTGGTTGTGGAAGCACTTAGTGCTCTGTGAGTGGGGTTTGGTTTGGGGTGGGGTTTGTGCTGTGCCAGAGTGATCCCTGGATAACAGGAGCTGTCATGGGTGCTCGGGAGGCTTTGCACTTCTCATCTGGGATTGCTGATACCTGACAAGCACCACAGCAATGCCGAAGAAGAGATACAAACACTGGCATTAGTTCCTTCACTCACTTCACCTTGGGATGCTGGCCAATACAGTCAAAATTTGGACTGAGGAGCTTCAGTGTTGGAATTGTATGAGTGGAGCTTGGGGCAACATCTGGCCAGAGGCTGGAGCTCCATGAGCAGCCCCACAGTGCTGGGACAGAGGCCTTCAGTGCTCCCACAGCTCAGGCTGGAAAGGACGAGCAGAAGTGACGTGGTCAAGGTGGAATCAATGCAGGAAGGAAACATCCTTCATAAGGCATCGATCATTTTAGCAGGCAGTAATAAAAATAACAAAACTGTCATCATGGAGCTGGATGATGGTAAGTTCTCATGTTCTTCAGCAGACATGAATTCATATGGCAGATCGATCACAGACAGCCCAGGCAAAGCTCACAGCACAGGGAAAAACTCCTTTGGCGTCGCAGCTGATGCAATTTTTACGAATGTGTTGCACATCCTGTTGTTAAGCTGCTTCCCAGGAGCTAATCAGTAAATGAGCTGCTCCAGGAGCCGGTGGGAGCAGCGCAGGCATTGCATCATCTTGTTTTGGCAGCTCACCTGAAGGGCTGAGAGCTGTTCCGACCTCTGCAGCAAAAACAGGAGACAAAATTATAAGGGAAATGAGCTGAAATTAGAGCAAACTGGCAGGAGCTCTGGAGTCATCAAGAGATTGGGAATTCATTGCTGTTGTAACAGAAGTGATTATATTGGAACCAGGGGAACTGGTCACAGACTTTAAAATCTCTTGTAACTTCTTGCAGCATCTCAGTTTTGAATTATTTCAGCCCTGGGGAGGAGCAAGGTGGGTACCTGGTCCAGGCTTCAATTCCTCAGGACTTGCCTGAAACTGGTGCCACTTACGATGTAAGGCAGCAAAGCTCCTAATTCCATTTGTACCCAAACCCATGTCCAGGAAAAAACATCCACAAATCCTTATTCCATCAAAAGGATAGTGCTCTATCTCTTCTGTTTGTGTTGTGGGGTCAGTGTAAGCATCCCTAAGGCAGGGTGGTCTGTGTGGAGCCAGGCACTGGGAAGGGGAGCTGGCCTGAGCCATCAGCAGCACTGTGTAATCAATTAAAGTTGTTCCCGGCTGCAAAGCTGAGAAGGTTGGACAGATCCAAGAGATTGCAGAGGCATACGGCTCTATCTTGCTTTATATAAATATTTGAACAGCAAGAACATTAATTATAGCAGGTTTGTTTCTTCCCTCTGTTGGGTTGCTGCCAGATTTTGTTGGAAGAAAATAGTGACAGCTAACTTGGGCTCGGGAATTGCGGCTGAGGGGTCCGTGAAGCTCTTTATTTGGGATGCTGGGGAGGGAGCGAGGGCGGGTGGTCCCCCGGAGGAGATCCCAGTCTGGCAGCGGGAGCAAGGAGGGGACACGGAGGGTTCCCTGTGTCCCCAGGCCTCTGGGGCAGCGGGCATTGTTCAGGTCTGCTCAGGACACCGGGGAAGGCCTGAAGCCCTGCTTCAGACACAGCTCCGTGGGCAGGGCCGTGGTGGCGTTCTGTGGAGCCGTGGATTGTGGCTGCCGTGGCTTTTTTGTGGCCTGTGACCGTGGGTCGCTACCATGGCTGGTGCCTATGACCCATGGCCGTGG